GCAAGCATAGAAGAACTGGTAAGTATTGGAAATAAACAAGTCAAGGGCAGTCAAAATATCACAGTATGAGTCAAACAGAGTCAGAAACTGGGTAAGCACACTGATATCACATTAGGAGTGGTGATACAAGTCAGATCTTGGCAGAGACATCTCTAGATCCAAAGATGGCATGATGGATGGATGGTGTTTCCAGATAGGGAAGTATTAATTCCAGAACTGAAGGGCATGAGTCAGGCATTAAAGGGGCTAGGGAATTGGGGGTCTGTGGGGCAATGGGAGCATAAGCAATCATGTCTCCCACCCTTTCATCCTCTCAGCAAAGTTAACAAAAGCTTCATGAACAGGGCTCTGATGGAGGAGGAGAAGGGGGGATGTCTTCTGCTGGATCCTGCAGTAAGAAGGCAAGATGCACATCATACTTGTCATGAATGTGATCAGGGAGGCTGGAGAACAGTAGATTATGCTGCAGCTGTTGCAATGCAGGAAGAATGACAGACAAGATTGGAATAAAGACAGTGCAGGGAGCAGGGAGGAACAATCCATATGCTTCATCAACTGGGGAGATCAAAACGACCACATAAGACCTTTCTAACTGAGTGACAGACCTGAGGTGACCAAAGAATGTCCTTCTGGAAGTCATACTGACAAGGAGAACACACTGACCAAGCTGCATGGGACAGGATGGGGCTGACAATGAAGGGATGAACCAGGGGGCTTCAGGACAGAAGCTGGTGGGAACACCTGGCAGATATACATAGCTACTGTCTCTGGCAAATGAGACAAGCAAGATGATTGACAAAGAGGCAGCCATTATTGATGGACTTAGCAAAATGAGCATCTGATGGATGGAGTGCTGTAGAAATGCATAGAATGCCATACATGGGCACTAAAAACCTTTAATGCATGCATAACTCACTTCCTCTTTTCTCTTTAGCACTGATGACTCATTCTTGTGTGAAGGATGACTGCTCACATTCAGCAGTCTTTCTACACATGAGGCCTCTAGTCTTCATCTGCATACATGGCATGGGCATTGTGCACAACTTGTTGATGAGTTAGGCAGAGTCAGCTGTAACCACATCCACAGCACCTTTGGTGTGTGACACCACTCTGCCTTTGTCTCAGTGGACTTCATTCCTGCCAACACTCTGCCAGTCAGAGTTCTGTTACTTCTGTCAGACTTGCTTCTGAACCTCTCCCCAGACCTCATCTAGCATCAGAGTTGGTCAGAGTAGGCCCAGACTTGACAATATGTTGATTTGTTGGGATGACAGGTTCAGTATGGACATGTGATCTGTCTCCAAACCATATGCTGAGATTTTTGCAAAGGCTTGAGCAGAAATCATGAAGTCTGGATTTGGTACAGAAAATTTCCCAAATATTTCTGACAGTCAGAGTTTGTCAAGGAATATGGTTAGCCATGTTCGTATTGCAGGCAGACTACCTTCCATGGTCTAGTTACTGTACTGACAGAATCTCATTTCCACAGTGACTGTAAGTACTTGTTACACATCTACTAGAGCCATGTCTTCTTTTTGGCTCAGACCCTGGAATGGAAAACATTTTGGTGAGGCCTGAAAAGGAAGGAGTTCCAGTGGTGAGTTGGTTCCCACACAATTATGACCCTGGTAGAGACCTTGCAAGCAAGGTAATTAGAGCTAATTCAGCAATGAAGTCCCACAAAGAATCCAGGTGAAAAAACCCAAAAAAAAGTCCCAGGCCTTCATGACATAAGCATACAGAGTTCAAGCAGAGCTCCAATTTAGGAGGAGAGCATCTAGTATATGGCCAAGATGCTGTGCTAGAGGTGGGTTTATGCATCAAAGCTCCACTTGTACAGCATCTACTCTTGCTTCTCCCTCTGTCCATTGCCATGCCCCCTTGTAAAGCAGTGAAATTGTCTGACCACAAGGGTAAATCTCATAGTTTGCAGTCCCCAGATGGTCACTCAACACAAGTGTCATGGTCAGATAAGGATACATTTGCCCTTCTTGACCTCATTGATTCCCAGAAGGCAACTGCTGGTGATGGTTTGAATTTCAAGGCACCATTTTGGAATGCCTGTGCAGCTTCTCCAATGCTTGCAAACCCTGAGAAAGGGGGGCCCAAAACCCCTAAAGCATGTAAAGAGAAATGGAAAAGGGTGTGTGAGTCAGTCAAATGACAGAATAACTAGCTGATATCACACAACTACAAAGTACATACACAGTCATTGATCATCTCAGCCATTCATCTGGATTTGTGTATTCCCTGAAGTCAGGGACTGATATTGGTGTTGCAAATGAGAATTCATGGGATGGTTACATGAAGGTATGATTCAATCTGATCAGATTGAATGTCCTGTGCTAATGGTGACATCAGCAGGTCCACAAGGATGCAGCCCCTCATAAAAACAAGGGATGGTTATTCTATGACAGGATGAATGTGCTCATACCTTCCAAGTGCAAGGGCTTGAATTGCTTTTCAGCATTGAGTATCAACAATTCTTCTGGAGGCCCATCCTGCACCAGGTTGAGTTCTTCCAACAGCAAGAGCATGGGGAACAACATGCTGTCCCCAGGGTCACCTTCCATTGACTTCACAGTACCAGAACCTGTCAGAGGAAGTGCACCTAGCACACCAGCAACCAGTAATGATGTGGATATGTCACCCATCATTCCATCAGCATCACTGTCTATGACCCAAACAATTTTCTACCCACTCATGACTGGAAGTGCTGGCTTCAGTATGCCAACAACTTCCTATGCTCCACCATCATGGCCATCTGTTAATCAACCTTTGTTCCACTCATTGGCAGCTGGAAATCCCATCCCCCCTACACCAACAACTTCCCATCACCTGGCACCATCTACCATTGCTTCAGTTCATAGCAGATCTACTTTTAACTGGTGCTCAGACCAGTCTGCTGCCCCCCCCCAGTACACCATCAAACTTCACCCCTCCAACTGCCCCATCATTCAATGGCTCATCTGTCAGCTCTGTCAAGCCATCCTCCAGTATTTCAGCTCATATGGAGTGCTCCAGAAAGTGGAAGAGCAGTTGGAATGCCATCCATGATCACACTGATCACTTCCTCTGACTCTTCCAGTGGTGGAGGTGATACAAAGTGTTATGCTAAGACTGAAGTCAAGGTGTAAGGGGAGCTCAGCCACAGACTAAAGGTTTCTACTGAGTGACAGCTGCAGTAACCTCTGTAAATGACAGAGGATTTGGGGGGAACACTGGTAAGAGTGGTCCTGGTAAGGGACACTGAGGGCAAGTTCTGAGAATGCTGCATATGATTGAGCAGCTCAAGTCTGGAGTTCCAGGACTTGAACTGGCAGTCTAAATACTACAGGGAAATGGACCATGAGGTGTCCACATGTAATGAGCTAACTACACCATTGGTTGAGCAATGATGACACATGTCCTAGGCATGTAAAGAGGCAGTAACACAAGTGGTGGAGGTAGAGAGCCATCAGATCAGAGAGAAGATGACTCTAAAAGGAAAAGAAGTCCATCAGAATGAACACAGGGTAAATGTACAGTGAAACAAGAGAAAACAGGGGTGAAACATAACACATAGCCTTCAACATCATCTATTCCAATGGATTGTACATACAGATGATGTTGTGAATGCAACATAAGGTGGGAGGGATATGAGCCTGGATGTCCATGCCATACTCTGGAGGCATGACAAGAATTCAAAAGTGATGTTTGATAACTCCAATTATCTGTTCAATCATGTTTTGAAGCTGCACATGGTGAAGGTTGTAGCATTCCTCAGCATTTACTGGTCTGTAAATTCCAATGAATTATGAGTAAATAAAAACATCAATAGAGATACTTACCATATGTGCATACAGCCCCATTCTGCAAGATGGTATCATTGCCCTTGGAATGGAGTCAAGAGTTGGGGGCAATTGGGGAACCCTGCATTGGCAAGGTAGTACTTGCTGTCCAGAATAGCAAGATCACTCAGCTGCACATTGTGATAGACCAATGAGTCAGCTGCAGATCCCTCCCACCCACTAAGGACATAAGTGAAATGCATATCGAAATCACAGCAAAACAGGCAATTCTGGGAGGTGAAACCTTTGTGATCTTGCATTGCATCCCTTTCCTCTGAACTGGGAGCATACATGATGTGCATCCCATTGATTGCACTGATAGCATCAGTGAAGAATGGGAAAAATTTGGGGTTATTGCAAATCATTGGGTGGATGGGGGCATCACTGCACAGCAATCATATCTACTTGCTGTATATATCACAAGATGAGAACACAAACAGAATTTTTTTGAAGTACCTAGAACAATGATTAGTCCACTGAAAATGGTGTGGTTGAAGACTTACTTTGAGATTGTGCTGTTTGACCTTTGAAAACATTCACCTACATGTCTGATGGACAAACCAGTAACAGAGGTATACAGAAAGATCACAAGTTGCTCTTCAAGTGTAACATGTTTGGAAGGACTGAGACCATGCTGTTGGAGCTCCCACAATAAGATTTCAAATATGTGCTTGTGAACTGCAAGTTCTGTATGAATTTGCTTGGGATGGCTGTTCAACAACTCAGCTACCCACCCACTCCCAGTCAGGATCAACATGTGGTATGGGATTGGGTCAGCACACCACATCACTTCCATGACAGCCTGTAGAGCATCTGCCAACACAAGTAGCAGGGATAAGAGTTGGAGGTGATGGTGGATGAGGATAAGAATGAGGAGTTTGCAGCATCAATAGTGGTTGTCGTTGATGTTGATGTGCCTTTCCTCAGTCTCATCATCTGCAGCATCAGGAGGGTCCCCACCCATCAGGTTCCCAGTTATGCCTGACTCATCAGCCATGCTATAGGTAGTTGTGTTGTGGTTATTGATATCACCTATGTCTCCTCCTAAATTAGAGCTCTGCTCGAACTTTGTATGCTTATGTCACGAAGGCCTGGGTCTTTTTTTTGGGTTTTTTCACCTGGATTCTTTGTGGGACTTTGTTACCACACTAGATCTTAGCTTTGGGAATGGAAGCCCTGAGGATCTGGCAGTGTGATGGTCACGTGCCCCTCGCTTCTCAACGTCTATTACTACTACCCACAATACTAAATTAGACTTATCAGTTTGAGTTGCAGCGATGAGCTGGGATGAGTTGGACGTTGCCAGGTGTCTGAGGGAATCCCCTCTGTTAACGATGAACGCCCGTTCTCTGCTTAGTTCGACTCTCCTGATATGCCTGCTCACCGCAACATCACCGAAACCCATCCCACTTGCGTTCTCGGTTCCACCCAGCGACGCAGTGGACCATGTCAAACCGTAAGTTACCCCCTATTCAAGCACTGCTTACACTTGTAAACTTGTTCAGGCTCATCGGAAACGGTGGCGACTCACCAAATGGCTCAGGAGGAATGATTCCCTCTACTGCACCCCCCTTTGGCATGACACGGTGGGTCGCACAGACGCGGGAAAACTACGTCTCTGTCACACCTTACAACTACACCGACATGCGTATACATGGCTTCCAGGGAACACACCAACCCGCTATTTGGATGGGTGAAAGTGGTCAAGTGGTCGTCTCTCCCGGTGCTGGTGCTGTCCGTACCGAATTCAAAGACCGCGGGATGACATTCAGCCGTGACGATGAGGTCACCTCTGCCAGTTATTATAGCGTAGAAATGGATGCAATAGAAGGGGGGAGAATCCTAGCAGAGCAGACCGCAAGTGAGAAACGCGACCCACCGTCTGTCCCCTACGTTCCAACTCACTCTGCACTCCACTAGCATCTCGCGTCGGTCATCTACGCTTTACGTTTATCGGAACGAATTCACCTTACATTCTTATCGAGGCTACTCGTGCTAGCGTATTGGGGTCCTCGGATCCCTACAATGTCACATATCCGGAAGGCGCAATCCTTATCGACCCTACCAACAGGGAAATATGTGGAAAGAACCCGGAACGGCAGGATTTTATTATCGAGCCTGTCTCTACACCTGCCAGAAATTGGAGCGGTTACTTCTGCGCCCGTTTCGACGAACCCTTCGACTCATGGGGTGTTGCGCAAAACGGAACCTTATCGGAGGGGAGCACAAAAGGCGGTGGTGTCTTACTATCCGGTTATGCGCGCTTCAGCCCCTCTCTTAGACAGGTCACTGCACGAGTCGGGGTATCGTTTATCTCGATCGAGCAGGCCAGGAGAAATTTGGATATCGAGATTCCCGATGACCAATCTCTCGAAGAAACTGCCAAAGCAACACGCACTGCATGGGCAGAAAAACTTGACAGGATCAAGATTCAAGGAGCTACGAAAGACCAGAAACAGGTGTTTTATACCGGGTTCTTTCATACCCTACAGGTGCGGTTGCCTCCTCTTCCTGGTAGTTATTAATACCGCCGGGAGCAGTATCCGTACGAACAAGACGAATATGGTATTTATTATTCTGGATACGACGATGCAATCCACGAAGGCATTTCATACACTGGGTACTCGAACTGGGTGTGCTCGATTCGTTGCCTTGGTCTGTGAAACGTTCATCGTAGTTCCAGGATACCTACCGTGCTGAATGGGCATGGCTTATCCTTTTTGCTCCGGAGCGCATTCCTGGGATGGTACAGAGCATGCTTCAAGATTACCAGGAGGTACGTTAAGTCTACTACCTATACGAGGTTAGTATCATCACGCTGCACAGGGAGGCTGGCTTCCTATGTGGAAGAACATCATTGGTATGTACTGACCCTACCTTTCCTGCTTTGTCGTGTGTCGAGCTCACCGACGCCAGAGACCAATATCATGGTAAAGATTTGTTCCTCTGACTCCCTGTGCATAACGAACATATGTAGATTGCCACACACGCCGACTCGCTCATTGCAGAGGCTGCCTTGAAAGGCATCACTGGGTTTAATATGGAGACCGCCTGGGAAGCCGTACGCAAAGATGCTACGCATCCTCCAGTAAATGACACCACTACAGTGTAGGTCAACGTACGCCTATCCCTCACAGGATAAACTGACTTACATCCTATGCAGCTACGCTGATCGTGAGGAGGTAAGTGGCCGAGCACGACCGCGCTTCGTCTAACATCACACTCTGGCGCACGTAGAATGTAGGCTACGAGGTCCGCGCGGGCCTTACCTCCGTATATGAGGAACGTGGGTGGGTGGCAGCTGACGTCCACTCTGAAGCAGCTTCCCGCACTCTCGACTACTCGTGTTCGTCCTAGTTCGCTCTTCTCTCCCAACTTTCTTCTCATCTAACATCACAGACGACGATTACGCTGTCTCTGTTCTCGCCAAAATACTCGATAAACCTACCGAATCCGCATTCTTCCTGAACCGTTCTCTCACAAACCCATTTACCATCTTCAATGCAGCCACAGGATTCATGGAGGCGCGGAACGCCAGTGGGCAATGGGCAGGGCAGGAAGTGGGATGGACGGAGGGTGATATGTGGGCGTATACCTTTGATGTAGTGCAGGATATCCCCGGATTGATCGAGAGACGAGGTGGCAACAAAAGTTTTGTGGAGTTTTTGGATGAGCATTTTAATGGCGGTGTGTCTTGTTCCTCTTAGTTCTTCATTCATCTTAGTCTGATGGGGTCTTTCTGATGATGGCATGATTCTGCACAGGCCATAATGACCACACGAACGAGGTAAGATTGCTAACACTTCCACGAACGACTTCCCTAATCTCATTCACGATGAATCACATCTCAGCCTTCTCATCATATTCCTTACTTGTATTCATTAGCCGGTGCAGCGTCCAAATCCCAGACGCGTATTCGACAGATCGCTGAGGAGAACTACAATGCTACGGTGAATGGGCTTTCTGGGGTGCGTTTTTTTTCTTTGTCTGTTCGTCGCTAGTTAGTTGTTTGTCTTCCTCCCGCACTTTCAGAATGAATCACGTGAACTGACGACAGCCATCAAATAGAATGAAGACTGCGGACAAATGAGCGCATGGTATCTCTTTAGCGCTTTGGGATTTTATCCCGTTGACCCAGTCTCGGGAGAATATGTCATTGGGAGGTACGCCAAACTATTCGTCGTGTGCTCTCTTCCTTACCCTTCCATCCATACACATTTTACGCCATCACCCACGGTAACTTGAATTTGCAGCCCCTTCTTCGACACCGTCACCCTCAATTTTCCCCCTTCCCCTTTCTCCAACTCCACTAAGAACGGCGGCACCTCTCTCCAGTATATCCGCCCCAAATGCTCCCACCCAACCATACATCCATAGTTTACGCATCAACGACGTGCCCATTACGGCACCGCTCATCACACACGCGGACATCGTACAAGGAGGCGTTTTCGAGTTCGCAATGAGCGGGGTACCGGAGAGGTGGGGGAGTGAGACACTCGTCGGGTCCGAGTGAAGTGACTCTGAATCAGCGACTTGGTAATACAAAGCCATCGTATGGTGTACGATATCCTCTACATGAATGTGGTTATTATTTAGCAGGGTTGTAGTTACGCTATACCCTCTCTCAAACCACACCGAGTACCCAATTATAACTCTTCCTGTGTTCAACATATCGGAAGTTCGTGGTAACTGGTATACTAGCAGTCATCTATGATAACGATACGCACGCTCCGTTCATCCTCTCCCAAATGAGAACCCACGCTGCCCGGCCTGTTGGAAAAACTGGGCAAATGGGTGGTCCGCCCCACCGCCACCAGACCCATGTCCACCGAACCCACCAAAGCCAGCAAAATGAGATCCCGCGAACGGGCTCCCGCCTTGTGATCCGGTGTCGTTGGGATCGTCGCCGTTGTCGAAGCGTTGTCGGAGTTCTTTATTACGGATATCAAAACACTTATTGTAACGAGAGTGGTGGGAAGAGGACACACCAGGATTACTCAACACCTCGTACGCTTCGTTCACAGCTGCCATCTTCGCCTCGGATCCACCTTTATCGGGGTGGGCTGTCATCGCTGCTTTGCGGCTGCACTCATGACCTCAATGAGTCATATCATCCAGTAAAACGAAGAGGGAGGATGTAGATGAGAAAGGAAGACACGTACAATGCCTTCTTGATTGTCTTGGTATCCGCGTCGCGAGGGACATCCAGGACCTTGTAGTAGTCTTTCGTCTTGGACTGTTTCAGGAGACGTTGAGCTTTTTGTAAGCGGTTAAGGACCTACAAAGGGACGACATGAGTGCTTGTTCATCGGGAAACCCAGGAATCACCGGAAGAGAAAATGCACACTCGAGAAACGAGAAAAGAACGACTCCAGGAAGGATTTACTGACATCACGATCTCTCCTCCCACTCCCCTCCACAGCTCTCTCAAATGCTCTTACTGCCTCCTCCCACATCTCCTTCGCCAATAATGCCTCACCCTTCCCAACCCACCCATCCACTTCCGGCCCTCCTTCACCACCACCAGCATACATCTCCCCGGCCATCCTGTGTGCCTCTGCCGACATCGCGAGCAGTGCGTCGCACCATGCCTCACCCTTCTTGACCAAGTTGAGATGCGTATACGCACGGCATGCAGCCCGGAGGATGTGTGCTCGTCGAGGGACTCTCAGTACGTGCGTCCGGGATGGAGATGGACGATGCCTTGCTTGGTTTAGAGGGAGACGCGAGGTGTTCGAGGGTAGCTTGCTGACCCAAAGCCCGTTCGAATGTGGCTGCGAATCCATCGCCGGGGTACATGCCCGCAGGACCAACGATGTGCTTGACAACGCCCATCCAGTCCCCCTTCTGAAGGAGCTTGTCGAGCGTCGCGAACCCTTTATCCAAAGACTTTGCGAGCCGATGTGCAGCAAGACATTGTGGCGAATCTGGATCGAGGTAGAGACATTGTTTCAATGGTGGAAGGTGCGACGTGTGCGAAGACGAGGGGGAGGGCGGAAGAAGGAAATAGGCGAGTCGGAAAATACGCATGAGGGACGCGCTCGTTGGCGGTGAGAGGTGTGATAGGCGACTGAGTGTTACAGAAAGCGTCAGTAAAACAGAAGACGAGGAGACGAGGAGACGACGAAAGACACGAACCTCAGGTCGACCACCGCACCTTGTGGATCACCACCCGCCAAACTGCACTCCGCCTTCGTCTGTCGCAGCTCTGTACTATGACTGGCCACACGCAGAGCCTGGGTTGCAGCCTCGGAACACACTGTCCACAGCTGTGCGCGTCGTGCATCTTTCGCTTTCTTCGCTGCTGCCTGTGCGTCCTTGATATCCGCTCGCAGCTCAGCTACGACAGAGTCAGAGTCGGAGGCTTTTGCAGCATAGGTGTCGAGGGTTCTCTGTGCCTGCGTCCAATCACCGTCTTTCATATGTATCTTGGCTATCATGAGTATGGCCCGATCGAACTCTCCCGACGTCAACTCCAAAACCTTTGAGAAATCCTCGAGAGCGTTCGCATGTCTATTAGATGACAAGTAGGCAGTAGCGCGTTTATAGAAGAGAAGATAGTCGCCTGGGGAGAGGGAGATGGCATCTGAGTATGTCTTGGCTGCGTCGCTCCAGTGGCCTGCTGAGAGGAAGGCGTCGCCGCGTGTGACGAGCGGTTGGAGGTTGGGATGGGCGAGTCCACCCGACTGGTTTGCTTGCACCAGAGGTGGGACAAGAAGAAGCAATGCAGAAATACACTGAGAGAACCGCATCCAAACCAGAAACCTATTCAATACAACTTCAAGGGGAGTGTTTCAATACAAACTTCGGGCGACGTGTCTCAACAAGCCATGGAGTACCTAATCCGGTAAGTAGTATTACATGGGCAGAAAGCCCCTGTGGCAAACTACAATGTTGAATTAGAACTACAGTAATAGCTACAAGTAGTCGTTATCATTTTCATTATCATAAGTCTCTTTAGGTTAGAATCATTTCTCAGATTATAGAAATCCAATGCAGTCACAGAACTTGAAGAATAGCGCATATGAACGCCAAGGCCAAGATGCCACGAGAATGCCCTTGAACTCTTCTCATAGCACCGTTCGTCCAGGAAGGCAGCACCACCGCATTGGAGGGGATAGGTGTAGAGCTGATGGCAAGCGCCGTGGGATATACCACAACTACAGGAATTGATACGTCAGTACACAAGATGGAATATCTGGCAGCCTTCACGAACTCTGAGATGCTTGAGCTGATACACTCGGGAAGTCAGAAGTGAGAGTAGATTGGTCCATGACCTCACTGCCGGACTTTGCATACAGTACAGATGATGACGGAGGTGAATACGCCACCATTTTGGCGGAGGACATCTGGGATGCTATCGCACGACGTCAATGCTGCTGGTCTACGATGGAATCCACACAAAGAAACGCACATTCAACAATCGTGTGTGGGACGATATTGTCAGCAGCATTGACAGCCGCGCCTGTAGAGCCGAAGGAGTTGCTTTCCACAGCGACTTCGGTCAATACTGGCATAGCGACCGAGCCATACACGAACGATGCAGTAACAAGGAGCGATGCGAATCTCATTGTCTCGTCACGTCAAGGGAAGGAATGCGGGGGATATGGATCGGAAAAACCATGATTGAAAACGAAAGGATGAGGTTTATGATGGTACAGCAGATGCCCCACCAAGGAGGGATGTCATATGTTGGCCTATCACAGAACATTCGCCTCCAAATTGCTGGATAAGCGCCCCGCCATGGCCCAGGGTTAATCAGGTAATGTCAGTTGGCCCAAACTCACAGATGAAAATCGTCTGACCCACGAATCGAGAGTCGAACTTGTGGTACATACCATGGTGAATTCGTTTATAAATTGCTAGCGGGCGGTTTCACTTGGTGACCTGTCCGTAATTTCCGTAAGGACGTTTCTGAATTCGGGCCTTACAGAACTGTTGCTAGACGTATGAGGACATGCATTCGACATTACAGTTGTTTCAGAAGTTCAGACGTTCAACGTTCATGTCCCGAGTGAGAAGTTGGTGTTTGAAAATCGAAAATCGAAAAAATTCAAAAATGCTGTAGAGCAACTACGTCCGTCCTTTTTCATCGTTCCCCATTCATCACTAGTCCAACAGAGTATATAACAGCATTTGGAATACTGGGAGATACCATATGACACGAAAAAGGAGCTGATGGTCGGGTGATCTGCTGGAGTCCCTAAGTTAAATTCTGAGGAAAGGCTTTACTAGAACAGGGCCGCCGCCGACAGGCACCTTGTTTACCACGCCCGAGCATGCTACAGTTGTGAGGTGGCCGGTGGGATTTGCCGCGCGGACTTGTTGAGGCATATGCGCGGATGTCGAAAAAAGCGTCTCAATTTTCGGGGTACAGTGACCTTGTAAACAAGGTGACAAGGTGATAGAGACAGCGCAGAAACCCGCTGGAGACCTGATGAAGGTCACAGATGAAAATACATTTTCGGAGAAGTGGCCAAATTCCGCCAAGAATGCACTCAGCTCATTCAGATCAGCATTGTCCTATGAAGAGGATGACAAGTGTGATGAATCAGGTCAGCAGGTCATCTACAGATACCAGAAAATGTATTGTACATATAATATCCAGATATCTATTGGGACTAATAGGACGCTGGAGCCATATCTGATCAGTCAGGAGCCTGAGATTGATGACGACGAGCCAGACAATGACTTTGAGGTCTGTGACAAGGTTCACGCACAACCACATGTAGCTACCGTGTATCTGAGGTTCTCCTATTCTATGTTGTCCGCCCCGCTGCAACGGTAGGTAGCCTCCCTATGTATGTACCGACAGTACCGCTGTAGTGCACACACTGTTTACACCCCCGATAGACATGAGTCAGCCATATGACCCCCACAACGAAGTACCGCGAGCCTTTTCCGCATTCAAAAGCCTAGGATGGCCTCTGAGAATGTGAGTACTGTCTGATTTTCCTGGTTTCGCCGACGCACCAAGAACTTCCCCAATCCCATCAAGTGTCCGACCATCAACTCTTTTTTCAGTGTTGTATGATATTTCGCAGTATCTCAAATATTGTTATACGCTCTACTGGACCAGTGACGGGTGGAGAACGATGAACAAGGACGGACGTAGTGCTCTACAAAATCTTTATTTTTTTTATTTTCAAACACCAACTTCTCAGTCGGGACAAGAATTTCCGAAACAGCTGTACTTAGCACAAGAAGTTCGCAGTGGTAGTGAAGCGCAGCTGCTCGATCAATTGGTTTCTCGCTTTCACTCTCCTATTCTCCTATCCACGGCTCGTCTAGTTCCCACTGGGTTACACTCAACATGTTGCCCCCGTCTGATGTCCCCCGTTCGCTCGTTGGTTTGATTAAGCAACATGCTAAAAGTTTGGTTGAATGCGATTGGTTAATGCCAGGATGTTCTCTACCGTTTCTCCTATGGTAACTTTACTAATCTTTGGCTGCACTCGGGCTGTGCCATCCGCGTTAGCAACTTCCTCATTCATGCTCTTCGATCGCAGAAACACCTCATCTGCAAGTGCATCAAGGAAGAAAGATGGAACGGCGAGGAGATGCCCGGCATAAAACGTGATTTTCATCGACAGATGATTTTTCTTTCTCTGTCCGTTTTCCGTGCTGTCTTCGTCAAATAGAGCATTTATATCGGAAAATACCCTAAGGGCATCTGCGCGTGGGTGTTCTGATGGTAGCGAATGAGTCTGTGCAACCCCACCAACTGGGTCTTCAGCGACTACCACCTTCCGAGGTCGAACGAGTCGAGAAACATCGCCTAAAAGCACGGCCATGGTACGAGGCTCTATGCTCCCCTGGGAGTAAACGTTAGTAATTCGAGGAGAAAGATTCCATAGACTCACAGGATCTAACCTTGCCCACACATCCATGACAGCACCTGTTAGCGTGACGTGCAACAACTTGGATTGGCGATCCGCGATGAATGGAACCGCACGGGTTATTAGCCTCCGAGCCTCCCTCTTGTCCTGCCAGGAATTGCTAGAGGAAGTAAGCGGGGATATTGACAAGTGCCGAGTGACGTATGCATAGCCTGTACTGCATAGGAACCTTAGACTGTGTCGAGTGGAAGTTCTTAATGACTTACAACACAGCGCAAATATTATACAGCAGCGAAGGGGACTCCGGATTCCATCGTCTAAGCCCTGGAGGTACCTCCATGAGGGGTGGCTGGTGACCATATCGAGTGGCAGCGGTATCCAGGTCATCGTTGGGAAGCTGCGGAGAGTCCCACCACGGTGCCTGAAGTTCTCTGTCGAGTTCCACGCTTGAGAGAAGGTTTTGGGCAAGCTCCGAGGCAGGATCTCTCAGCAGCTTGAAGAACGTATCGCGCTCTTCCTTAGTGAGGCGGTCTAGGAGTTCATCTGCCGATGCCGACTCTGAACACCAGAGCGAAAATCAGTATCATCGGAGACGACGACATCGCGGGCACGTACCAATCTTTAAACCAGCTAGCCGTTTTTCCAGGCTTTCCGCATCGTCCTCATCGTCGGGGCCATGCGAAAATTCGTCGTGGTCTTGCAGACCTTCATCGTCCAACCGTTTCAAAATCCCGAGTATTTTTTCATGCTCTGGGGATATCTTCGAATAGTCTGAACCAATACTACTCGCGATCTCCTTCCGGTAGAAAGTCTCCGAGCATTGTGCATGTGTCTGCACGCTCCGTCAGTATGATACTATACCCTAACAAATTGAAGAAATTCTGTCACCTCGGATCGGAAACATGCCAAATTGCAATACGGGACGTTGCAGGTTGGGCATGTGTACCTAGAAATCTGCTTGCGACAACTGAGACGGCCATAAGAGGTGGCTTGAGAGCAGGCAGCGGACAGTACATGCCACACCGTACTGTCATGTTTGGGTCCAAGTGACGTAGCCAAATATGAGTAATTACAGCGAGTAGATCTTCGAGCATCAACACGCTTTGCTTTTCTTCTCCTACGTTTCGCCATTTGTTCCGCTCACTGCTAAGGGAGCTCGGGCCTCTCACACTCAGAACGTATGGACCGGTGGAATGAAAGGGACCCGCCCATGTATTCGATTGGACGGGTAATACTGTAGCTCATCCTGCGGGGTCGAAGGTCGGTCGGAGCAGCCCATTCACTATACCAGGAATATGGTGATATGCGAGAGTTCAAATCACTATAAATAATGATATGGGTAGGAGCCATAGGTGTGGATGCCATGATAATACTGGATGCTCCAGATATACCCCTCCAGATTCTATGCCAACAAGATCGACCATTGTTGAAATGAGCTCCCACGAGGAATCCTGACAGCTGATTCCTCAGAACACCCATCCTGGTCGGCAAGCCATAAAGCTATTAATGGCTGTAAGAATGACATGGTATAAGCTGGTAGTAGATCCGACATTTAGAAGCCCCGTAGCAGGCCCGACTAGAATTACCAAACGAGGGTATTTCTTAGAGGATGACCCCACTTTGTGTTATATTAGCAACGGCGACGGTGTCGGTCAACCATTCATGACGGGATGGCAGACAATTCCGAAATCGAGTCCGCACCGACGCTGTCTATCAAGAGTCTGAAATCGAGATTCGAGCAGTTGGCACAGGAAAATGCAGTCTCATTGGTCTCCCCGTCCATGTCGCAAAGTAGCAACCAGACGCTCTTGACTCCAGACCCGCCCACCCATCGGACGCGGGCGTCAGTGGGGGGCGACGAGCGACCCAGCCAGTCTGAAGCGAGAGCACTGCGCACATCGATATCCGCGTCAGACATGAAAAAGGTGACCAGACGTGCACCTCCGCCTCCGCCCCCGTCTCGTGGCAGGAAACCCTCGCCGGCTGTGTCCCCACTCCTGCGTCCAGTACCCATCCCGGCTACCCGCCCAGGACAGACACCACAGGCTTCGCAGGACAGCGACGTCGGCGACGACCTTCCTCTTCAGGGAACGGTCGCTTCGCTTCGCAGCCGCCTTTCGTCGTGAGTGCGATCCAGTTAGACGAACTTGAAGTAAATGTTGATGTCTCTCGGGCAGATCTGCCGCGGTTGTTGCGTCCTCACCGCCGCGACCAACAACCCCAAAACCCTTGCCACGTCCGGCAGGGTCGACGTCACATAATGACTCGTCTGTACATGAGTTCACCCCCTCCCTCGTTCCAGTCCGTCATACAATGTCTGACCGCTCACCATCTGTATCCTCGGTGACACTGGAAAGTCCAGACGATACCTTGGAGCTGGGACTTGTGATGAATGCTTCAACTCGCACGGGCAGCGTCGCCTCGCTTCGTGATCGTTTCACGTATGTGCCATCCTCATGATGTAGTGATAAATTGAATGTATATATGCACAGGGCTATGAGTATACCTACTTCTGCGACACCAAAGCCGCTCGTACGTGAAGATCGTCAAGCGTGGCATAGCGAACCAAACATTCTAGCACCCACCAATCCTCCACCCACGCTTCTCACCCGACGCCCGCCCCCGCCCCCACCTACCGGCCCAACACTCTTCCAAACCGAAGACGATTCGCAATCAGCTTGTATCTCATCGCACAGCCCATTCTCAGATGACGAATCTATATTATCCGAAATTACACCGCCCCTCAAACTTCCACCTCCACCTGCCATACCACCACGGAAGACGAACAGTTCGCCGAGAGCGTCGAATGGTGCAAGTGATCACGCCCGCAAATTATCTGATGTTAGCAGTTCGAGCGACGGCTTTCCACCGTCGCCGAAACCGAAACCACCACCACGTCCGGGCGCACGTCTACCTCCTCGGACAAATGGTATCCCTCACGGAGCTCCTGTAGCTTCTTCCCCAATATCGTTACTCCCACCACCTCTCCCATCGCGACGCGTGACGCCAGATGAGGTTCCAGATATTCAATCTTTTGCACCGCCTCTTCCTGCACGAAGTGCACATGCCGCTCCATCTGGGAACGTCGCTGACCCTGCATGTGAGCGCAAGCTTCTCGGTAATAACAAACTTCTGCCCCCACCGACACGACAAATCGGCCTGGGCGATAAGCTCCCACCCGTACGTCGACCCCCTACTCCCTCCTCAGACGAGGAATCCGGAGAAGATGACGACCCGCGCGTGCGTACCGCCGACACCCTCCCAGGACTCGAGTCGTTCGTCACGGCGCCCACCTTCGTTATCTTGTTTCGTTTACCCAGCATCTAGGATCCAAGTTCCTGCGCATTCGGGACAAGTTGCAATCGCGTTGCCGAGTGCGGTCATTGCAACACACCACCACATCAAATACTACGATTTATCATGTAGCGACGTTCCACTATGGACGATCGATACCCGAGAGGCAGGTTTGCGCGAAGCCAAAGTGACGTGTCTAGAGTTTAAGCCTACAGCTGCGGTTTCGGACAGGTATCGATATATCTGGGTGGGGAACAAAGGAGGGCCACTTATTCGAGGTGGATGTCGGTGTGGGATCGGTGACGGCGACTAAGTTTGGGGTGCATGCATGTCAGGTGACACACATGTTTAGGTATGGGAGGATGATGGTGACGGTGGACGATGCGGGCAAGATGATGGTTTTCGATCCAGACTCAGACGTTGGCATGGCCGCAGGGATGGGCGAGGAAGACGTGAGTCTTGTGTACACCCAACCACGGGTGTACCGTACCGCGGAAAAGCAGGATTTTGTGAAGATGTTGGGTGGGTTACTCTGGACCTCTGTCCGCACGGAGATGAATGGTACTGGGACGGCGTCCGTTCCAGTCATCAGGATATACGATCCGTTCGTCCCGGGCAGTGTTGCACGATGTGTCATGCCCACGCAGCGTGTGGGCGCAGTGATGTGCGGAACGCTCTTACCTTCCCATCCCGATCAGCGTCTACCTAGGTCACGAAGGCGGGTTTATCTCAGTGTGGAATATTGACACACCCGGTGGAACCCCAGAGTGCGTAGAAGTGATGAAGGTATCCGCTTCGGACGTGTTGTGCTTGGAAGGCGTGAACGATCGGTTATGGGCAGGTGGAAGGAAAGGTACGGTTTCGGCGTATGATGTGAGTCCTCGACCCTGGGTCGTGACGAATTGTTGGGAAGCCCATGATGGACTTCCCGTCTTGAAATTGTTCGTGGATCCGTCCGCGATCGAGAGGGTGGGAAGGTTGTGTGTAGCGAGCGTTGGACGGGACGAGCGTATGAGATTTTGGGATGGGTTGTTGGGGAGTGATTGGGTGGGTAAGTCAGGCGGGCATTGGAAGCTGTGCGTACAATTTACTCGCTCTGCTTTTCTTTGCAGGTCAGGAATTGCTCAAGCGAGAACACGCTTTTAGCAAGTTCAGGAACCTTAACGTGCTCATCGTCTCTTGGAACGTGGATGCGGCGAAACCCGACGCGTTAGTCGACCGACGCAGAGAACGCCCAGTTCTTCCAGAAAGTGTTCCAAAGCTCTGATGGCCCCGACATCATCGCGTTCGGGTTCCAAGAAGTCATTGATTTGGAGAGTCGGAAGATGGCCGCTAAAACTGTTCTTCTGGGAGGAAAGAAGAAAGGCGAGGACGGTAAGATCTCTGAAAAGGTGTCGTCGTCGTATAAGAGGTGGCATGATCGGTTGGTTATGGCTGTTAAGATGGCTATGCCACCAGATTCGCCGTATACGGTCATCCATACGGAGAGCCTGGTCGGATTGTTCACGTGCATATTTGTGAAGAATGCGCAGAGGGCGTCGGTGAAAGATGTTGCCATTACTACCATCAAGCGTGGGATGGGTGGTAGGTATGGGAATAAGGTGGGTGTAAGGTCATTGTGACGCCGAAATAATCTTACGGAGGGAGTGACGGCAGGGAGCGATCGTCGCGCGGCTCGTTGTGGACAACTCGTCTATATGCTTTATTAACTGTCACTTGGCTGCTGGTCAGGGACATGTACGCCAACGGAATGCGGACGTGGCGGCTGTGTTGGAGGAGAAATCATTATTTCCACCATCTGACGCCGTTGAGGAGTACATTGATTTTGTCGGCGGTGGAGACGGGTCGATGGTTTTAGACCATGAAATTGTCTTCGTGAGTTGTCTTACCGTTTCCACTTATCGTACATGTACGCTCGCTGGACAATGCTGACTCTGGGGCGTGGGTGTAGCTCAACGGGGATATGAACTACCGCATCGACCAGCGTCGGGAAACCGTAATTAACGTCCATCCAGTCCGGAGAGCTGGAGTTGCTGTTCCCACACGATCAGTTGTTGAGAGAAATGAAACATAATCAAGGGTTCCGACTACGCGCGTTCCAGGAGGGGCCATTGATGTTCGCGCCGACATATAAATACGACCGACGATCCAACGAATTCGACACTTCCGAGAAACGACGTACGCCCGCATGGTGCGATCGTATTCTATGGAGATCTCGGGATCCAGAGCGGGTCAGTCCAGCTCAACTATCAACGGTACGAAGCGAATGTATCCGACCACCGACCTATTTCTGCCGCATTCAAGGTGACGATTAAGTCTGTGAGACAGGATGTGAGGGCGAGGGAGAAGATGGAGGTGGGGAAGAGGTGGACGGAGATGGAGATGGAATTGTTGGAGAGTGCGAGAGAATTTTATGTGCAGCAGGCTAGGACGTTGATATAACGGCCACTGAGCGCTGAGCATTGGACGAGAAGATTATGTGCAATGTTACATTATACCTGTGGAGAGTAATGTGGGGCTAAGGTCGATACTGGTAGATATGTTAGCATCTGTATGTAGCGCATGGACTTCTTGTTTGTTCAAAGCATCGTCGGGACTAGGGAAGGAACGATTGTAATCTTTGGTTTGCGGCCTAAGAGACACTAGGTTCCAAGTATCCGCTCTGTTTACAGCGACGTTCATATCGATAGACCAGAATTGACCAAATCTCGAGCAAGCGCCCAGGGTCCCCACCGTCATCGGGAAGACATTTCTGCCCGAATGTCGAACCTTGATCAAATGCGCACTTGTTGACAGAATTGGGTGCACCTTTCTCTTCTAGTTCGGGTGCCTCAATAAGGCGTATACTGAACTTCGTGCGTCCCACCACTGTGTCACTGGACAGCTTCTTGCCCTTGGTCTTCGATGTATATTCCAACTGTGCTCAACGTCCTCCAGGTATCCCTCTCCCCACTGGCTGGGATCTTTGGGTTTGGCCGCCCCGCCAGCAATGACATTCACTCGGTGCATGGCTGGGACAAGTTCGGGGTTCTCTCGCCTTATCATGATAGATCGCACGTCCATGGAGTACGAGCAGATTTGCCTGCTGATTGTACTGTCGACCAAGTCGTATTGGTATGTTTATCGGTGTCCAATTTGTATGGTGACCATGTCACTTATTCTGTACACTTGAAACCCCAGTTACACCGCCATGGTTCTCGTGGACCCGAGGGAGAGGAAGTCTATATCAACAAGCTAGTCGAAACCCTGGAAAATTCGACCATTCCGCATCATTTACCACCTAGCTTGCGATTCTTGAAGCACGGTTACAAGTCCGACCTCGTTCCAAAAAACCTGACAATTATTGGCCGCCAACAGCTGTTTGATCACGGCGTAGAGTGGGTACTATGGTATTGAGGTGTTCTGCTGGTCTGACCCGTAACTGGCAAGGTTTGGACGCCGCTACCCTGGGTTTTCGACAGACTTTGTTCTTTCGAGCACTACACAGAGAGTCATAGATTCTGCCTTTTACTTTACACAGGGCATGTTCGGTCGAGAAATGGATATCGTGACTGTGAACAAGCTTGGATTACCTGTCAACTGGATATTGCCCTGGGAATCCTGTCCAAAGTTTAGCCCATGGTCGGAACTCGAAGTAAGCTGGAGTGCAGTTGATGCTGTAGATTCTGATATGATGAGTACTTACAGGCAGAACGAGCCACGTGGGCGAAGAAGTACATCCCTGTAATTAAGCAGCGGCTCAGTGCCCTCCTTCCTGGTGTCGAACTATCCGATGAAGACATCCGCGGAGCGTTATATGCATGTCCTTACGACCTCGCTGCTCATGACGTGTCTCCATGGTGTGAAGTGTTTAAGCCCCATGAACTAGCTGCCTTCGAGTAAGAGTCTTACGCAAGATTTTCGGGAACACCTTACCGATTGTCCCAGTTATGAAAGCGACCTCGTCAGCGATGGGATAAGCGGGTACATATCAAGAAATGATACAGGGCCTATCCTTGGATCTGTATACGTCAACAAGTTGATAGAACGGTAGGTTTTGCCGCTCTCTGAGAAGGTGTTGGTGAACTCTTTCATCGCAGTTTCAGTAATACTACTGGTGACGCTCGAGACCTTTACCTCGAATTTGGACATGACGTTACTATCTTACTTGTGTTATCTGCCATGAATTTGAACAAGTAGGTTTTCTTTCGTTCACATGAGGCTGTCTTTCACACTCTTATTCCAGAGACATCATCCCTCTCACACCTGAGTACATTCCTCCTGACCGTAAGTTCCGTGGATCAGAACAGTCCCCGTTTGCCGCGTGGATGATCTGGGAGAAGTTTACTTGCAAGCACTCGTATGTACATCTCGTCAATCCCGATTTTCAGCTTTGCTAATAATTGGGCGATTAATAATGGTCCAGCTTCGAAGGCCCTCAGGTCCGTTTGCTGCTGAATGGGGAAACATACCCTTTGACCTCTTGCCAAAAATCTCTCAAAGACTTGAGATTTGGGACTTGCTCGCTGAGTAGGTTTGTGAAGGCAAACGTATTCAGTACCAACATTCGTTATGGAGATGAGACCTGGAATGCTGCCTGTGTTGATAAGTATTAGAGTCTCTTAGTTCATTAATGACTCATTATCACTGTAAGCATGAACATCTGGGTGCGGTCCTGTCATTTGTGTGTCATGCCGTTCACGTCATTGATATCCCTCTTACCGATCTTTTGTATATCCTTGTAAAGTGCCTAGCTAAACCTCCTGTCATCGAGTCTTACGTTGAAGTTGACTATGCACACGCTCTAAATTGCTATCGAACGAATGGATATTGCCGCAATCGTCATTTTGAACTTCTGGCCACGAGACAAGGGATCACCTGTCATGTACGTAGTCTAAAACTTGTAGAGATTTGTGGTTATGCCCTCCGAAACTCAATGAACTGAGGAACTGAGCTTAGCCGGTGTGATCCCCGTCGTGACCGTGCTACCCTATTATCAGCCGAAAACGCAGTAGCATTATGCCAAACAGCATTTCATCCCAAGAGGTGTTGGCCTGTATAGTCTTCATAGCAATGTAGGAGATAGGCATCCCTCTCGGATTCCTGTCCGTGGATACAATGTTCACCGCCTCTACGTCCCCGGGCATCCGCTTGAAGAAAATTGATTCTTTCATTGACTCCGTCAATGATGACAGCAGCTGGAGGATATGTTCGATCTGCGTATGCACTATTCATGATAAGTTCCGGCGCCTCAAGTAGCTCACCTCGTAATCAACAATATGTAAACTCTCTACTATCCTTTCGCGTTATTCCATGAGAGATGACCAAAGAACGAGAGATTCACGGGGATTTACCGGCCTGGCCAAAACATAAGACACAGCATGTCTGAATGGCGGCGGAGCTATCCACACGCGGGCGCGCCATGGAGACAAGGAACTTCTAGTGGTAGGCGTACCGTGCTTGTCGTTGGTCCAATTCCTATGTTCCAAGGAGTCGTGGGTGACCCTTCTGTGGAAGGGGTGTTCATTACAAATGCGTAGCACATACAGTACACATTTGGCGATGTAGGTAAGCCGTATGCGACAGGGCAACGTCTCGCTTCCTCCAGGAATGACACCCTACATGGCACATTAATGAGCAAAAATATATCTTCAACTGCAGATTCGTGAGCGAGAGATAGAATGTCGTCACCTGAGCCATCTTCGGTCGTTTTTACGTAACTTCCCTTGTGATCTTTGAAGTGAAGTTTCATGCTGCATGACGGTAAATGGAGGCAGGATACACAGTTTCAGGTTTGGGGCGTGTCATCCGCCCATGTTGTCGTGCTGCTCCGCAGATGCAAGTGTACTGTTACGAGGTATGGAACAAAAAGTTCCGAAGCGAGTACGCACCACAACTTCCATGGCGACCTCTCTGGAGACCGTGTCCCGAGATGTCCCTGGACGGCTTCCACGATATCCGAGAAGCTAATGGAAAGGTGCGCGCGCATCCACCTGAGGCTGGGTGTTGGCGGAGGATGACACTTGCTTACGCTAACGCACGCTTGACCATCGTATGACAATATGCACTTACTCTTACTTCCGTTGTCCGTTCGTCATCTGGACGTCCAAAGCGCGCAAAACCAGGCAAGACTGCTGCGATACATATTTACCATGCCATCGTTTGCGTAGTAACCACACTCTATTTTTTATTCACTTCCTACTAGTATTCGGCTATTATGACGTTTTAAATCTCCGCTTCAAATGCGCTATAAGAGACGCCAAGTTTTTCTGTTTCCCACTGGCTAAAATGCCCACCTCTTCAAAATTTCTTGACCCGGCTGACGCGGTTGCTCATCTGCAGACGTACCCGTCCTCCGATGGCTTGTCCGTCGAGGAGCTGATGAATTCCCGTCTCCACGGCGGTCTTACTTACAATGATTTTCTGTTACTGCCTGGCAAGATCGACTTCCCTGCATCGGACGTGATAACTGAAACCAGGATCACTCGCAACGTCGTTCTCAAAACCCCGTTCATGAGTAGCCCAATGGATACCGTCACAGGAACCGAAATGGCGATTAGTCTCGCGCTCTTGGGGGGCATTGGTGTTATCCATCATAATCAATCCGCTGAAAACCAAGTGGCCATGATCCGAGCGGTGAAGAGACATGAGAACGGTTTCATCACTGACCCAGTCGTCTTGTCGCCCACCCACACTGTTGCTGACGTCTTAGATATCAAGGTTCGGCTGGGATTCTGTGGTATTCCCATTACTGGTGAGTATTCTATCTCCTCGACTACAGTTTATGATGAGTACTTGTAAACCTTCGTTCTGCCGAGTTAACGGACCACGTCCGTGATCTGCGGAAACTTCAAAATCATGCATGGCTTTCTGACCGTTTTATCCAACTTTTTTTAAAATTATTTCATTTTCTGACACATTTCATTTCTAGATTCCGGATCATTGGGGGGAAAGCTGCTCGGCATAGTCACTTCTCGTGACATTCAGTTCGAGTCTCCAGACACTGTTTTGCACGAAATTATGACCACCGATCTCGTAACGGCTCCGCAGGGCGTCACCTTGAACGAAGCAAACATCCTTCTTCGTAGTTGTAAAAAAGGAAAACTCCCGATTGTTGACGATCAAGGTCGCCTAACATCCCTCCTTGCCCGTTCTGACCTTCTGAAGAATCAAAACTACCCATTGTCGAGTAAAAATCCTGAAAGTAAGCAGCTGTACGCTGCTGCTGCTGTTGGTACTCGTCCCAATGATCGAGAACGGCTCCGTCTTCTGGTTGAAGCCGGCCTTGATATTGTTGTTCTTGACTCTTCGCAAGGTAACTCTGTCTACCAGCTGGAGATGATCCAGTGGGTCAAGCAAACATTTCCCAAACTTGAGGTCATCGCTGGAAATGTCGTCACCCGCGAACAAGCTGCCAACCTTATCGCTGCTGGTGCAGATGGTCTCCGTGTCGGCATGGGAAGTGGATCTATATGTATCACGCAGGAGGTCATGGCAGTCGGCCGTCCACAGGCTACTGCCGTGTATGCGGTTGCCGAGTTCGCGAACAAGTTTGGCGTTCCGGTCATTGCTGACGGCGGTATTGGCAACGTGGGACATATTGTCAAGGCACTCGCGCTGGGCGCGAGTGCTGTCATGATGGGTGGGTTGCTTGCGGGCACGGCGGAAGCCCCTGGCGAGTACTTTTACCATGATGGGAAGCGTGTTAAGGCGTACAGAGGTATGGGTAGTTTGGAGGCTATGGAAGCTGGGAAGTTCGATCCGTCTACGCGGGCTAACGGTAGGCCCGGATCCTCGAGGAACGCGCCATACCCCAAGGGCACTCCACACGAGAATGCAGCGACGACTCGCTACTTTTCCGAGAGCTCGGCTGTCAAAGTCGCGCAGGGTGTCTCGGGCGATGTGCAAGACAAGGGCAGCGTTAAAGCGTTCGTGCCGTATTTGTACACGGGATTACAACATAGTCTTCAGGATATTGGCGTGAGGAGTGTGGAGAACCTCAGGGAGGGTGTCCGGGATGGCTTAGTCCGGTTTGAGCTTCGTACTGCCAGTGCTCAGGTTGAGGGTGGAGTGCACGGGCTGCATTCGTAAGTTTGTTCCCCGGTGTTTGACCGCTTTTCGCCTAATTGCTTGTCACCTTAGATACACGAAACGACTTTTCACCGACATCGTTTAATGAATCTCGCATTAAATACCTGTACCAACATTTTAGTGGAGGGCATGTCGTACACTCACATTTGGATAGCTAGGTCGTTGCTGCACATGGTTTGGGAATTCATCGAATATTGAAGTGAATGTTGTCGCCCCCGGTTGATCCAGACCACGTAAGTTAGCAATGCTGATGTTGTCAGATCTACCTCGTCGTTCCTTGTAACCTTGTTTTCCTTGTGTAGACTTGACTAGCTCCGTGAGCTATTAATGTGCCAAAGGACAGCCTAAGAACCTCAGAACCGAGGGTTACCTTGTTAAACGTCGTAGCCATTGTACCCCTTTGTCTGCTTCTCCGTTGGTTGTGAGGTGTGGGTACTATTCATGAGCTTCCGCGAATCCTTTCTGTCTCTCGCTCGCTCACAATGCGATTTAGCGGGTACTTATGGGCTGGTAATTCCTTAGATGACAATCCTTGTGCAATGCGGAGAGCCTCGCAACTCCCATATAATGCCGCAGTGAGGCGGACTACTTTAAGTTTCAACTCCCGTTGCAGTCTCTTCCCACAACTTTCCTGCAGATCTGTTCTTGCTTTTCTTTGTGCCTCCCGGACCACTGAGTGATCCCTCATACGTAGCTCAATCGAAGCCAAATGTTCCTGTCCCAATCGAGTTTGATCGCTGCGATTTGCGCATATCTGCTTTGCATATTCTCGCGCGGAGGTATGCGTGATCCTCTATTCTCTATAACTTAGGCACTGACACGGTGACCCCATGGTTTGAAGTTTCTGCTATACCACAGTTTGGCCGTCCTCGATTACACGTCCTAGAAGGGGCATCGGTCGACCCAACCCCATCTACCACGCCCTGTCCACCTACCGCTACCCACACCTTGTCGGAAAGCTTCAAGGTCCCGTACCAAAACGGTTGAGTCTCCGCAAGTGTGAGTTGTCTTGTTTGCAAAGTGAATGATTTCTTATGGTACATAAATCACCGCAAATCAGCGAAGTCAGTTCATTCGTAATGTCGTCATGAGATGTGGGTGCGCTTGAATGTTCAAATGTTCATGCTCGGGCCTTGCAATGACACATTGTGTGTTTACCTAGGGTCTCACCCGTGTAGCAGACTCTGCATGGCTCTACCACACGTCTCCTTTTGACATGTCGTGTGAATACCACATTAATTGTAAACTGGTATATCATGTTGCCCTTTACGAGGTTCCAGTGTATCCTCTGATTGACGAGATCCGAGGGGGAATTGAAGGGATTGTACACCGCCATCTATGTCGTCTATGTCAAGTCGTTATGGCACCTCATCACCTGGCGCCCCGGGATTGTTGGAAGAAATGGCAGCGTGGTCTCCTTACCGCGGCGAATTAAATGAGGTTGATATTAGTTTCCAGTGGCTGCTGGCACATGGGAAGGGCTGTCAATGATTAAAGATTACCAAAATCTTACTCATCTAAGTTCGCACCAAACACTACAACAGGGTTGTTACAATCGTACATAACGTCAGAAGAACAACGCTTCATCTACGATTTTTGGAAGTTGCTACGAAGCTTCAAACCACCTACATCACGATCGGTAGAGGTGTTTTTTTCTTGCAAGTGCAGGTACCAGGAGTACAGCTGCAGCTACGTAATTCAAAAGAACATCAGTCAGAAATCTTACACGTTGGGAAGAGCGAACAGCACCTACGAGGAGTCGCAAGACATTATAATATCAACTTTTGTGTCTGTTAAGGATACAAACGACGAGTACCGACGATTGAGTCTTGCTCGGGTGCAGTAAGTTTAGTAACACACGAGATATTCAGGGAGTCGCAAGTATTAGAGCAAATTGCCAAGAACCTCGAGTACACTTGCGCTTCCCTTGCCGATGACTCGTACGATTGGTTTTGATGGCGTGGTGTCGAAATGTACACCACATAGCCGATACTGTACACGGACCATCGATCAAGCTTCAAGTCCGAAGTAGGGAGTGGTACATACATGCAACAGGAAGGCACAAAAGTCGTGAAACAGTCGTAGATGGTCCACTCCCGCAGATATCAATGATGGTCATAATTACCTTCGGCAGAGGAGTCCGATACCCCTGAAAGTTGCCAGAACTGAGCACTGAAGTACTGAACGCCAAATGACGAACGGACTTTGGCCATTGAATATATGTACCAGAAAGAAATTCAAATCTGCACACAGTCAGCATCAAAAATGCATCTAGAGGGAAAGTTTATGCTTCCCACCTCAGTGGTCGGAAACCCCATATTCTCTCCCAGGCGGGTGTGCACAATAAAAAATGGCATCATTGTCGGTAGCCAAGATAATTCGAGGAAGTACGGCAACAAAGGCTGCCCACAGGACAGACATTTCCTCTACGTCTTTTGCAGAATTCGACCTTTTCCTCCCAATGCTGGTAGCACCGCGCCTGATATCCACGGAAATTTAGAATACCCAACTTTCGATCATTGACTCTGTTCCATGTCGAAGACAGGAATAATGGGATCCCAATGGTCCATGGAGTCCCGTGGGAAAATGTCCATGGCCTAATGATTGTCTCCGAGACCGGCTTGTATCCAAACGGGTCAGCGGGGTGGACCTGTCGGGCCAGGGTACGTACTTCGGCCATCTCCTCCACCTCACATTTCATTAGCTGAACTAAAATCCACTCGCTTGTAATGTGTATCATAGGAGCTCTTCGAAGAGTCGACTTCAGGTCTCTGAGTTTCAGAGTGGCAGCACTAATCGTACTATCCAGCAGGCTCCGAAACCCGTATGTCAGTAAACCGCGTCAATGCCACTATATCCGGGTCATTGCCCCAGATCGCTCCTGCGGCTCCTTCTCCCCATCTACAGCGTCAGGACGTTACAAGAACGATAGATAAGCTCGTACCTTCTGGAAATGACCAGCTACGCAACAATGGCCATGACAGCCTCAGGCAAAGCCAAATGGAACAATCTCTTAAGCGATCCGTGACGCTCGTCATTTGGTATAAGGTGAGGTGTAGCATTGCTTTGTGGGATGAGGGACTAGAGGAATTGACAGCCCAACTGTGACCCTATACGCCTCAAGCATGAGATACCTACCTTTCCTTTGTTTCAGATTTCCCATTTTCCCTCACTCGTTTCGGATCTTGAGTTGACACCAGCGTCTTGTCTTGACGCATATAATGCCATTAGTGGGTACTGGGAGCAACACATGATCACTACAGTCCGTACCATCGAGTCGGAACAGAGGCTATTGTACAAGCTGAGAAAAAGCTTGGTTTCTGGCCTTGCGGATGACGAATGCAAAGGTCTTTCGGAGGAGTTTGCATTGCAACCCAGGCGAAATCAACATCAACTCGCTAGTCCCGCCCTTCCTTCTACGTCCCACAAGCGAACACTTTCCGCTGATGCTGAGGTTCCAACTTCCAAACGTTTCTTCGTTCCCGAGAACTATTCTCCCCATTCCATGTACATGCCGCCGATAGGCTATGTGGTCCCTCACACTGTGCCCTACCCCACTCCGCTCGTCAGCACCCCGTTAGCAGGTCCCTCCCAAATGCGACAGGGAGATGGAATGGAGGCAAACACACCAGCTGAATTTCATGGAACCGTGGGACTTCAGTCTCCTGTTATCCCTCAGACCCCGTTATACAGCCCCAACGCGCCTGGCATCTCTGTTACTCCCGCCACTCGAATTTCCCTATCTCACCAGCTGCACGAGCCAATAAAACGCTGGCCTAATGATTACACAGTTTCCGAAATCGCCGACGGCTTCCGGACAATGGATGCCATAACTACACAAACTCCTACCACCACGCAGCGTGTGGCATTCGAACGCGTCTTTGGATGTCGATATGTAAAGAGCACTGTGTGTCGGCATCGTGCAGTCTATCGGAAGGCAGATCCTGCTGTACGAGCAACATTCAGGCAAATGGGGAGTAGTGAGCAGGCGGTTTGGGGTGAGTTTGTGAAAAAGGTTGAGGGAAAACTGATGACCACGCCTAAATTAACTGGTGGTGGGGACGAGGAAGGAGCGCCCCATAAAGTGAGCGCTGCTCTGAATCCCGATATGAACCCCGATTCTGGTACCCATGAATCCATGGACCAATCTCACACAAATTCACAGACAGGTAAATTTTTTCGTGTTTGAGGATCGTGAGATTGCCAGTTTTTCATTCTCGGTACTTTGTAGATCTGGTGTTACAACGGTGTCCAACCGGTAGGACTTGGCTAACCTCGTACCTAGGGACCTTGAGCGAGTTGCTGATATTTCCACAGAGCCCACTGCACCCTTAACGTCCAGCTTGGCGGAAACAGTTACAGCAACAGAATAATACCGTTAGTAGAGGGTGCAACGGGGCCTGCACGAACGCTGTTTGGCAGCCATGTCACGGGTATACGGTAAATCTTTTATTGGCAAGATTCTGCGCCGAGCTGGTGGTCGTTGGCTTCTCTCGGTGGGCTCTTCGGCTCTAGTAGTTCTAGAAGCTGAGGATGACTACGATACTGTGCACCCCTCCCATTACTATGGCGAAGAAGTCTTGTTTTGGCACTGGTTTGATTATTTTTCCCTCTTCCCTGATTTGAAGTTTGCGGTGCTGTAACTATTCCACACCACGCAGTCTCTGGAAATCCTATATTTGTCACCTTCTTTCTTTTGGCAGAGCAATCTCAATGGCCCGTTTCATGGGATCCAGCTAGACCCCCGGACTAATCTCGCTGGCACAGTCGCTTGGAACTTTGGCTTTCACCCTATTACCCTTCGATAATTTCTGTCGTCCTTCACACATGCACCCTGGATTCTCAGAATGTGCTGCTCGACCAACATTGTGTGCATGCAAGGAGTTACATTGCCAACTCGGTGTAGGGCAGCTGGCGGAAAGATAAGCAGGTCGGAGCTAGCTCAGTATGGCACTGCATACGAGGCTGTAGATACGTACATATGGAAACCTGAGGCCCCAGTGCCTCGACCAGAGAATTTTATTTCAAGGGCAAAGAAGAGGGAAATTTGTGTATGCTAAAGATTCAACAAGACGGAAATGGAGCGCGTACGGGTTGATGTGTCAACACGTGACGGAAATGATTACATAATGAGCGCCGAGCCTGGCCTAAGATGGCATGGTGCGTGGTCAAGCCATTCATGCAGAGGAAATGAAAGCAAGCTTGCCTGGGTCAAGTTTCTTCGCACGCCAGACTCGCAACGGCGCAGCCACGCTGGTGCATAAAGTTTCTCGTGCTAAGGCAACCAGTTGCCTACTAGTAGGTGTCACCCGGCCACTTTCTCGACTTGCAACTGCCACTTCCTGGACTAATCTCGTACTATGTGGCCGTTTTCAATTAGCTTTCCGAGTCTGAAGGACCTGGATGAGGAATATGACTATGTGATAGTCGGTATGTGCAATCACCGTTACGATTCATGCTTCCCTCAACTCAAGCACCTGGTGGATGTCCATCCTTCGACAGGCAGGTGGTACTGCAGGATGCGTACTTGCAAACCGCATAAGCGCTGATCCTCAGAACAAAGTTCTCCTCGTAGAACGTGGACCTGCGGACGACTCGTGGGAATCCCGTATACCGCTGTTTTCTGCAAACTTTGCAGAAGACCACAAACTTGCTCGTAAGTTGGACAGCGAAGAGGAGCCTGTCATTGGAAGGCCCGTAGATATTTTCCAGGGCAATGGGCTGGGAGGTTCGACGTGGATAAATCATATGTTCTATACCCGTGGCCCGTCTGTCCAGTATGACCGATGGGAATGCAACGGTGCGGAAGGGTGGGGATTCAAATCATTGATATCTTATTTCATCAAGGCGGAATGTGCAGAGTACGACGCAAATCCGGGTGTGCATGGTAGCGATGGTGAGTCGTTTGATTCCATTCAATAGTCATGACTTCTGACTTGCCCCTCAGGAGAGTGGATTAACCGTCAAAATGGCCCCTTCTTCTACTCCAGCTTTGAACAGTAACCGTGGTTCCTTTTGTTATTCAAACCCTATACCTGATGCAGTTGTGCAGTTCCGCCCGAGCATGTGAGGCCCTTGGTCTATCGCGTATTCCAGATTTAAACGATCCGCAGAACATTCCGATCGGCTAGGGCTACTATGCCTGTAACCCGAGATTCGAACCAACATAGGCATTCAACTTTCTGGGCGTTCCTCCCGCCGGCTCTGATCCACGCACGGAGAATTAATCTTCATGTTTGTCCAAATACAATCGTCGAGCAATTGATCATAGAAAAAGAGGAAGATCACTTGGTAGTTCGTTCGGTAGCTCTGGGGCCCACCGGTGGGCAAGCTGGCAGCAAAGCCACCGTTCATATACACGTACTGACGAGAAGTGGTCATTTGTGCTGGTGCACTTGGGTCTCCCCAGATTCTCATGCTGAGGTTAGTGTTTCCCCTAACTTTCAGAACCAACATTTACAGGTGCACAAGCGGTATTGGACCCGCAGAGCATCTCAGTGACATGGGCATCTCAGTACTACAAGACACACCTGTTGGGGAAAATCTAGTGAATACCACTAATTATTATGGTTCCTGTTATCCTGACACATGTGGTTACAGCAAGACCACTTTGGCGTGTTTAATAACTATCTAGTACCGCTCCACGATTCGCTGCTACGTGTCAACCGCCAACCGCTGTATTTCATTTGGGAAGTCCTCCGATACTTTCTTTTTGGCACTGGTGTGCTCCTCGCCCCTGTCGTTCAAATGGCGATTTTTGCCTGTACGGCACTTCTGGATAAACATGGCGTCCCCTTGGAGGATAAGCAGCCTGAAATAAATTCCGTTCCAGATGTGGAGATCATGCCACTGGCATACGCTCAGGGCCTTGCTCAAAAGGACGCAACTCGTGGAGGCTTCTCATTCCTCACAGTCTTGCTTACTCCTGAGAGCAAGGGTTCCGTTCGGTTGCGGAATATTGATCCCCGTGCAGCCCCTCGCATTGACTTCAACTACCTCTCGACACTGTCTGACCGCACGCGCATGCGACATGCACTTCGGCTGGTACTGCGCCTTGCTAGAGGTCTATGGGAACAAGGATACCAGTTGGAACCTGCCGAGGCGCCTCCTTTGGACGCGGAAGTCGTTAGCGACGACACGCTAGATCGTCAGATTACGGAACAGGGGTGCACAACATATCATTACACCTCAACCTGTGCATTGGGCTCCGTTGTGGGCAATGATCTCGTCGTGAAAGGTACTCGGAATCTGCGTGTTGCGGATGCGTCCATCTTCCCAGAGGTTCCAGCTTGTCATTTACAGGCGCCTGTCGTCGCTGTCGCCGAAAAGTGTGCGAATATGATTTTATCGATACACTAGTTAGACGCGCTCCTCGAGTAGATATTGCCCGCGCGGACCAAGGTATCCCCGTAGAGATTTGTGATCTGTTGGAACGTGTTCTGTCATATTACTGGTACATCCATGTGAAATGGGAGGTAGTCTCGAGTACACATTGGCGTGAGAAGAAAGGAAACAGATTTGGATTTTTTCCACTGATAACTAATTCGTACAATGTTCCACTCGGTATTCGCAGCGGCCTGCAGCTAGTTGTTATTTGGCTTTGGATTCAGTGGATGCAGAAGGAGTCGTCCGACTGGAGGGACGCTCGTCACGTTCATGGGATCTACCACAATGTATTCACCGCCCTCAACTTCAGGCACCGAGATTGCTAGCAAGGTAAGTACGATCATCTTGATCTCTGTTGTAGAGGTTAACGTGAGGTAGGTCAAATCTCTGATACTTGCATACCAGTAACCGCTAGAATGTGACCAGGACACGCCCATCTTCCGAAACCGAAAGGCAAGTACCCTGGATCTATCGTCGACGAGGCGGGTCCCTCCAGCCATCTGTTCGGGTCAAACTCGGCAGCCTTCTCACTGTATAGCGTGCGACTGCGATGCGTGAGAGTAGCCATTGGAGAGACGAAGCTGCCTATGTATGTATCGACGCATTAAACGAAACTGTTGAGCAAGTCAATAGATAGTCGCGATGCATCACCGAACCTTCTGGAATGGTGTATCCTGCTAGAGAAACGTCACGGACTGTTTCACGGGCCGCACTCAAGGTGTCCCCTTTTGTCCTGAGGACTTCGCGGATGAAAGAATCAAGGACTGTCGATCGTCGCAAGGCATCGTATGTCAACTTGTGGACACCGCCACTGTCTATACCATCCGCGATCGCCGATAACTCCTCTTGTACGGAAGCTAAGTACTCCTTTTGAATGGACAATTCGAATACCACCCAGACTGCGACGGCAGCTGTTTGGTGTACAGATGCGAAAATAAAACTGGCAAGTTTCTGTGTCAGTCTCCGGGGTTTCGAAATGCTGTTGGTAATTCAACGTACGCGAGTACTAGGGTAGATACCCACATTGCAGAAAGAATGGAAACATGACCTTGGGAGTCCGTGTACATTCTGGCAACGTAGTGGACGAGGGGCTCCTGCGAAAGTAGCTTAAGGCGTTCACAAAAGTTAGCTGAGTCCTGCTTACATCGTGTCTTTCCTCTTCGTCGATGTACTCCGATACACGTGAGTTTAAGGGCCGGTATTTGTGTCCGCAAATTTCTCTCCATATGATGGGTACGATGACGTGACAATATTGGAATATAATGACTTTCACCACCAGTCTCGCCCTAGGTGCCTCTTATTTGCTTTGTACGGTGGATAAGGTGACACAATACGCACCATGTTATAACCTTCCATGTCTTCGGGAATGTCCGTGCGAAAGGCAACAGATTTTGGTAGATACCCGTCATGGTTGCGATGGCATGTGCTGTCTCCTCTGTGACTTGCAGGGTACGGTCGCTGACATATTTCTTTTGGCGGTGGCCATGTCCATTTGTGACTGATAGCCTTGACATGTTGACTGGTTTACGTACCTCACCCACGATGGTAATTAACATTGCCTCCGCGATGCAGCGGTGCAGGTGCGCGAACAGGTTGACATCATTCCCTGATAGCTGGGAGTCTTTTACAATTCCATGAGCTTGATGTTTGAAGGTGGGAAATACTAAGAAAATTATGAGGCCAGATCAAATGGCAATAGCGATCACTGTGGAATCCAGATCCTTACTCTGATCCACTATTTTTTCCATCCTTGGGATGATACCACCGGTGACCATCATGTGTATGTCCTTGAAAAACTTGCCTTTGCTCAGGGGTATTATAAACTCCAGGTTTAGGGCCTAAAGGTGCGTCTGCGTCGTTCACATGTCAGGGAGATCGCTTGGTATGCTTACACTAGCTGTTCCACGTTCGAAGCTGAAGTCTTGGTCATTCGATAGGACCTCCTTGGTATACTCCTCGTTAACGATATACTCGAGCTAACCAAGAAGTTTGAGACCGGTGCCTATAGATGGGAAGAGCCGACAGACCCTTCCTTTCCTCCACACTCCAATCACGGGTCCACGATTCTTCAGGGCCGATTCATAGGCCTTCTGCGGGGATGAAAATATTTCACTGGCCTTATCGTATTTTGGTAACTGAACACCAAGGCCGCGATGGATAAGCTCCACAACCTACTGGAATGTCTATAATCGGTGGAAGCAGATGCGCTGGAGTATGGCCCAAGGGCTGTAGAGCGGTAGTGTTGAGAGCTACTTGTAGTGTTTGCTGGCCATTCCTCACTCACTTTAGATCGCTTGCGCGGTCGGGCAATCGTGAGGAGGCAGAAACCAGCAACGAAGAGAATCAGGACCCCCACAGCAACTTCTTGCACACTCCGTGACGCGGGAGATGTGCCATGGAAGGTAAGTGTTAGCACTGTATCGAATGCATTCAACATGGGGGATGAACACTGATATCGTTCTCGTCGAAGGCTTGTAGTTGGTGAGAGGTATAGAGCTTCTTATACTTATATCCACCGGGGACATCATTTACGCGATTTACTGTAAGGAACCAATCTTCTGTTCTCCCTACAGCCAATGGAAAGCGGTAAGGTGACCCGTTCCCTTAGCCTGGCTGCGGGTACCCGTTTACTTATACAAGCAATGATTCGACAGACTCAACGACAGGGAAATTGAAAATTTCCGCCCGGTTCTTCCGCCACCTCTGGCAGTCATACCCTGAAATTAACCGGTGCTTTATTCTTCATAACTTCTCACTGGAAGTATTTCTCGAACAGACCCCATGACGGCATGATGACATTTGGCTGTAGCAGGCATGACTATCCATACATATGCCGCCCCGTGTCGGAATTATCTGGTACGTATGTGTTATAGTAAGTACTGACTTAGTCTCTAACCAGACCATGGCCATACCAAAAACTGAAAAGACGGTACTGTCGACAACGACACAACCAACAACAACGCCGAGCCCATGACATAAGTGACCTGCTAGCTCGAACATTCCTGTCTGATGCAGATTGATAAGAACTAAATCCGTACACATATTCCAGATCGGGACATGAATTTCTGAACCAACTGTATGCCGTCGCTCTTTCGTGTTGCCTTACTAGCCTTCGCCCTGTGACACCTGATGTCTTAGCTTGCCTTTTTCATGATGTGTGCTGTGTATAATGTTGGGGTAGACAGATTGACAGTGTGTCTTTGGTGTTTGGGATCATCTGGCTCAGGCTTCCCTTGTTTCCCATTATGATAAGGTGATTGTTTCCTCACTTCTGGTGCTTGTTTCGTGCTTGACGGATGGAATGGTAGATGCTCATGTTTTCCCAAATCATGAAGTTGGTTCAGCTCTCGTTTCAGTTTTCGTTTTTATAGGCAACTTGTGTTCCAGTATCCTCGGTGCCAGAATGAAGTGCTTCGTTGATTGTGAGAGCACTAAGTACTGTGTATTGGTTGGTACTGTGGAGAATACATGGTGGGCAGTGGAACTATTAGCACAGCATCAGTAGACCACTTTGTGAGCTGGTAGTCCTAGGGAATCTGTCCAGTGCTGGACAGCTCTGGACAGCTCTGGCCAGCAAAAGTGATTTACTGATGAGCATACTATTCTTATCACATAAAGTTCTCAAACCAAATTTACTAAAATGTGAGGAGGGTAGAGTCCATGAACCCTTGTCTGCTGTTCCCCAGACAAAGAGACCATCCTCACAGTGGGGAATGGAATGGGTAAAGAAGTCTGGTAAACCTGAACATTATGAGATCAATAATGTGGGTGATGAAGAAGCAAGTAACCAAGATGGTGACAATGTCAGGTTGGAACATCAGTAAATCACTTTTGCTGGCCAGAGCTGTCCAGAGCTGTCCAGCACTGGACAGATTCCCTAGGACTACCAGCTCACAAAGTGGTCTACTAATGAACTGCAAGGAAGAAGCCCAATGTTGAGTGTCCTCCACAGAAGAAAGAGAAGTGCAAAATTGCACCTGCCATTCCTGTCACCATGCAGGATACTACTGCTGCACCTGCCCTGGTTGGTTTACCTGAGAAGTCAACTACCACCACCTCCCATATTGGCTTCTGGCACTTCTATAAATAGTGTTAACTATGAAGTTCAATTTGTACAAATATTATTTACCCCAAATACTATTGATTTAGCCCAAGTTAAACTTGAAAGCTATTTGTGCCAAATACAAAGTATTTATGCTGAATCCATATATCTGCATGGGTAACATGAAAAGTGACTTGCCTCTCACAAATTCCAAGAAAATAAATGTATTGAAAGGCTAGTAGATGAGGAATAGGTTTCTATGCAATGTGTGTGAGAGTGTTTCCTACAAGGCAGAGTAGGTAATTATAAGGTATTGATGAATGGTATGATGAAGCAAGTGATGATAATGAAAGGAATTGCAAGATGGAAATGAGCAATGCCAGATAACAAAAGGAGTGACAGGATGGAAATGACAATGATTAGAGTATGTGTTCTGCAAAGAAGATATATGACACTAGAAATGAAATTTGTGATTCACTTTCCATGGGTCAACTGACTCATCCATCCTAAATGATCCTGAGAGGGGTGGACAAACAGGACTGTCTGAAGGTGTCAAGTCTGGGTCTACTCCAACCAACTCCAACACTTAATAGGGTCTGAGGAGAGGTATGGAAGCAAGTCTGACACAGTCAAACAGATCTCCAACTAGTAGAGGATTGGCAGAGATGAAGTCCACCTGAGGCAGAAGTGGAATGGAGTAGGGGCATTGGGTTTAGCTTGTGTGCTACCCCCTTGCATGATCTCAGCCCTCATATTTCAGAGGTAGAGACCAGATAGACATTTGGAGATCACCATTCCCTGTCCTCCTGATGTATCAATTGTGATAATTGTAGCATTACTGTGATGCAAAACTGCCCAACTCCCTTATCCCAGTAGTGACCTGGGAGTGAGGAGTGAGTGGGAATGATCAACAAGTCTTGGCAACTGTAAATGATGGCTGTGTAAAACAAGGTACACAGTGGGATACCATAGGAGTCATTGGCAAGTTGTGGAAGGTGGCAATGATTTCATTGCATAGACCAGCACATACTGGGATTTGGCTGGATTGAGTGGCAAGGCTGGGAAATGGGGGGGATAGCTGATATCCACCAGCGCTGGCCAGAGTGAGTGGTACTATGGATGCTGGACAAGTGGCATACCATGCAATTTTGGTGTACTGCATATGATACCACCAGTATAGGATCATAACCTATACTTGATACAATCACAGAAGGGTGGCTAGTAATATTGTATGTATTTCATAAAATTGGGTCACCTTGGAGTGTGCCAGTCAATATGGGAGGCCATGGTCATTATATAACAACCAATATATTACAATACAATTTGCCATCTTCAATCTACATGGCAAATAAAGCCTGCTGCACCAATGGAACTTGCATCCAGTCACCTCTAGGGACTCCAAGCCAGTTATGAATATTGTCACACATGTAGAATGCCAGTGAGCAATAGTTGCTGCTGACTTCATTCATGCCATGCCACAGAAGCTGGCCAGAAAAGGCTACAACAGTACCAGGATGGTAGTCAAGTTGGAGACTGAGGGAGGGAACATCAAGAATGCATTCAGAATAATTACCAACACTAACTAGCATGTCATACCATTTGGCATGGGATTGTGGGTCCCAATGGAGAGGTGCTAACTGGTTCATGATCATGGAAATGTTGGTGTAAACCATTGGCCAGTGTCAAAGGGCTGCTGACATTTCAGGATCATTCCTTGCCAGCCACTCAGTCAGATGCTGCATGGCCTAGTGACCAGCATTGTACAAAGGAGGGTGCATGATTGAAAGTGTGCCTGAAAGAATTGCCAATGGCATTTGGACCACATGCACCCATTCCTGAGTGGTTGGAGTTGCAAGGTTGGCAGATATGGCAGGCCTGTCTAGTAAGATGCATCCCTGCCACAACATAAAGATGGGCCCATCAGTAATGTCATTTATAGCATCACAACATATGGACAGGCCCTTCTGTAATACCATTTATACCATCACAATACATGGGCAGGCCTGTCCATAGTAAGATGTACCTGTCACAACATAAAGACAGGCCCTTCAATATATATCATTTACAGGGTCACAACACATGGATGGGCCCATCTAGTAAGATGCCCCACATTGCAACATAAAGATGGGCCTTTCAGCAATATCAATTACACAGTCACAACACATGGGCAGGCCCATCAATAGCAACACATATGCCTGTTGCAACATAAAGATGGGCCTATCAGTAATATCATTTACAGTGTCACAACACATAGACAGGCCTGTCTAGTAAGATACCCCCCTGTCCCAACATAAGGATGGGCCCATCAGTAATATCAATTACATGGTAACAACACATGGACAGGCCCATCAATAGCAACATGTATGCCTGTTGCAACATAAAGACAGACCCATCAGTAATATCATTTACAGTGTCACAACACATAGATGGGCCTGTCTAGTAAGATGCACCCCTGTCACAACATAAAGACAGCCCCATCAGTAATATCATTTACAGTGTCACAACATATGGAAGGGCCCTTCAGCAGTATCATTTATGCAGTCACAACATAAGGATGGGCCCTTCAGCAGTATTATTTATATGGTCATAACATATGGACAGGCCCTTCAGTAATATCTTTTATATCACCATAAAACAAGGACAGGTCTGTTGTAGGGAGTGGTATACTCCCTGAGGCTGAAATAGGGATGCCAACACCAAAATTCTGCTGTTACCAAAGTTGACCCCTATTGGAGTTCCACATCTGTCATCTTTGGAATTATTGCATCAACCTCATGCACCACCTTGCCTGTCAAACCTTTGGAGCTCCCCTGTCCATCAATAACACACACCAGTCATCATCCTGGAATTCTGTGTCAACATCAACCTGACATACATCTATCCAGAATTCCGCAGTTGTGTCACCTCATCCTTTGCCTTGCCATGTAGCCAGGAAATCATGCAGATCACCAGTAATAAACTCCAGTTACCCCTCTTGTTCCTTTTCTGTGGGCCTTTCTCTGCAAGGTGAGAACCCCTTTGCATCTATGGCCTCTGTCCTTCATGTATGCTACTCTACAGTACATGGTATGCTTGTTCTGTTGAAAGATACCCATCTTTCCCTTTTGTTTCTCTCAGTTACTGCTTTTCAGTTTGTTTTCACATGATTCTGTAGTGTATTGACATTTGTCATGTCTCCCTTTATTTTTCAGAATTTTTACTTCACCTGCCCCACATTATCCCAATCAGTACCTTACTCTCCATGTACTATATAATTCTGCCTCAGTGATGGAAAAATGGCACCCATCTTTTGGAGTCACTATCTGAGTCATTTGTGTGTCTAAGTATTCAAAGTGTCTGCTGCATCCTCTGTGTCTACTGTGTCATCTGCATTTCTAGTGTCAATCTGTCTACTGGGTCTTTCATGTCCCTGCATATCTGTGTCTTGCCTTTGTGTACATAAACAAGTCTATTCAGACCCAAATTGTCTACAACACTGCAGAATTAAATTCCATGCCCTACATTCAACTTCCTGGTTGACTCTACCATCAAATTCTACATCTCCTTCCTACTCAGCACCCCTTGGGTCAAGCCTAGGGATTACCCTACAGCTTTCCCCCTAATCACATGCTACCTGGAGGTAGTGTCCCACATCATTTTGGAGCCTACTGGGAGGGGTCTGTAGATCTGGAAAGGAGATCCTTATGACCCACTCATCAATGAACTGAATTTGAGGAGCTCTTAGAGCCCTTCCATTTCCTTTCTATTTCTTCATCAGAGATCTTAATCCCTGTAACTGACCCCAGAGAAATTTCAGAACCTCATTTGTCTGATTCAGACCTCAGCCTAGATGAGATCTTTCAGAATTCAGATTCTCTGTCATTTTATCCAGATCTTCCAGGAGGTTTCGACCTTGATGAATCCTTTGCTCCCCCCACAGAGCACCAAGAACTTTCACCTCAGTGTTTCTTCTGCAGAGGTACCAATGGACATTGTACCTCAGAGTGTGTGATGTGCTGTGAATATGTCCAAGCTGGGAAATGCTCCTTGATAGGGGGAAGAGTATTTATGCCTGATGGCTCTGACATCCCTAGGACAGCCACTGGCTGGAATTTTCAAGAGAAGATTGACAACTTCCTTGCCATGCATGAATCCATTATTGCCTCAGCCAATCTTGTCTCTGTACAGTGACCTGGTCAGCAGTCAAGCTCTTCTTGTGGTCATGATTCCCCACCCCATCCCCATCTCATCAGTACAATGTTCTTCAGCAACAAAGGAGCCCCAGAATTTCAGGTCGACTTGCACCCTTCTTCCTACCTAATTGATGAAGAACATGAGGAGGGTGCCAATGAAGAAGACCAATGTGCCTTAGCGAGAGCTTATGCTCAGGTAGAAGAATTGAAGAACAATATCAAGAAGAAGAAGAATGCTCATTTTGATGGTGTAGAAATTCCAGCTCACCACCAGTGGACCCCAGTGACTGCTCCTTCACCTGCTGGCATGCCAGCTGCCTCTAAGACAGTCATTAATTCTGCACCAACCAATTCTGCCCTTCTACAGAGATCCCAGCCATTACTAAAACTCCAGTCATCTCTAATCCCACAGATCTCTGGAAATCCAAGCCTATGACAAATTCTGCACCCCAATTTCATTATCAGAGCAGTTTTGATGAAGCAGTGGCTACCAAATGACTCATAAACCTGGTCTTAGACACCAAGATGGAAATTTCCACCAAAGACCTCTTAGCTGTCAGCCTGGAGATTTGCAAGCAGCTCAGAGAGCTAGCTGCAATGAAGAAGATAACAATTGGGAGTTTAGAAATGGCATCAGAAGCTACTGCCTCTGCTACCTGGGTGTCCTATGAACAGTATTGGGTCAGAGACACAGAAGGGAAGTGTGTAGGCCTTGCTACTGCACCATTATGTGCCATTGATGGCATCCTAATGGACAAACTCCATGTCAAGTGTATCCTAGACAGCGGTTGCCAAGTGGTAGCCTTATGTCAAGAATTATGGGAAGCTCTGGGGGCTCCTCTTTGTTCTGACATGATCATGACCCTCAAAGCCACTAACCAGTCTAAAGAGAGTACTCTAGGAGTCATAGAGAACACTTCCTTGTGCATAGGGAATGTTGAAGTCCATCTCCAGATTCAAGTTATTGATCATGCTCCATTTGACCTACTTCTTGGATGACCCTTCTTCTGCCTACTCACTAGTATCCTTTGGGATTTCCCTAATGGAGAACAGTCTCTAGAGATTCATGACCCTAACATGGGCAGACAGGTATTAATTCCAATGTGCCCTCAAAACAGACTACAACTTCTTCCATGATTCATAAATTCTGAAGACAAAGAAGACTACTTCACACACAAGGAAATGCATTGCCATATGAAACAGCCTGAGCAGGGTTTTTAGTGTTGGTTGATGACTCATTTGGATCATGAGGAGGCCATGATAATCTTTTCTCTGTGTGTTCTCTCTTTGTTTCTGATCCTCCTTTATTACCTTCAAAGACTACTACCCTTTCACCTACAGACACTTTCAAAAATTCTGCTGCAGCATTTATCTATGATTTACAAAGCAACAGTACACCCCCTGTTGATCCATTTGATGTTAGTTCTGTTTCTTTGAATGACCCCTTCTTATTTTCCACTGGCACTACTGTTTCACCACTAACAATTTCAGCTGTTATGTTCTACTTACCAGTTCAATCCCATTCTTCATGTTTTAAAGTACAAACCTGTAGTGAAGAAGGTCAGGCCTGTACCAATGTCAATGCCTGTGAAATTCTGGGTAGAGCATTGGGAGGCTGAAGATCCTCTTGCAGATTTACCTGTATTACCTGCTCACCCTCCTCCATTTGTGCCAGGTTCCAGGTTTACCCAGGAAAGAGCTGATGAGCTTGATCTGGGCCCTTTGAAGTTCCTCTTTCCTGTGGAGTTAAATCTGGTATGATGGCTGGTCAAGACACATGAGGCCACCTTCGCTTGGGACACCTCAGAAAGAGGAACCTTTTGAGAAGATATGTTTCTGCCCTTGAAGATACCTATGCTAGCCCACAAGCCTTGGGTCAAGTGGAATATTCCCATACCCCCAGCCATGTTTTGCAACATCATCAACATAATCAAAGAAAAGATTTCTGCAGGTGTCTATGAGCCATCTACTTTGTCCTATTGCTCAAAATGGTTCTGTGTAGTCAAGAAGGATGGAAAATCTCTCTGTCTTGTCCATGACTTACAACCTTTAAACACAGTATCTATACAGGATTCAGCCATTCCCCCTTTCATCAACTTGATTGCAGAAGCTTTTGCCTGCCATTCTGTCTATGGAATGTTAGATCTTATGGTCAGATACAATCATCACACCATCCACAACAAATACTGCAACCTTACCACTTTCCAAACCCCTATCAGTACTCTATGACTCACTAAGCTACCTATGGGCTACACAAATGCTGTCCAGATTTTCCATGGAGACATCTGTTGGATATTGAAGGATGAAATTCTGGAAGTTACCATCTCATTCATCAACAACTGCCCAATCAAGGGCCCCAAATCTCATTACCAAAATTCTGACAGTACCTACCAGACAATTGTACAAAAACCCTGGGATCAGATGTTTCATCTGGGAACATCTGCAGAATGTCAACTGTGTCTTTCATCGTCTGCATCACACAGGAGCTACTGTCTCAGCAAAGAAAT